TATTTTTGGTTGGTGGACTATTCTCAGTCCAGCAGTGACACTGAGGTGTTTAAAAACTCCAGCAGCACTGCTGTGTCTGATCCACTTGTACCAGCACAACACACACTAACACACCACCACCACGTCAGTGTTACTGCAGTGCTGAGAATGATCCACCACCCAAATAGTACCTGCTCTGTGAGGGTCCATGGGGGTCCTGACCACTGAAGAACAGGGTAAAAGGGGGCTAACAAAGTATCAGAGAAACAGATGGACTACAGTCTGTAACTGTAGAACTACAAAGTGCATCTATACAGTATACATTAAGATTTCCTGCACTGGTCGCACAATAAATGGCACCATTCACTTCTATTGCTGCCTCCATCTCTATCTTTCCATCCAAACCTGATCACACTGATGGTAACGCAGACCGCAGTAAAAAAAAATGTAGCTGTTGTGATTTGAAAATTGCACACTTTGAAATTGTGATTTTGATATACAAGTCATTCTACAGAAACGTCCATTTTTGTGTCCCTAGCGTTTACAGATATATTACACTTGAAAAACATGTTGGGGTTACAATTTATTTATATTTTAAAATAAAGTAATAAGTTATTTTAACAATTCCAGCCTCAATTTAGCAATATTGGTTTTTAAATCAATTATCTAGAATTCCAAGCACCACAGAAGAGCTCGTCCTCACACAGTGTGTAAAGGGTGAGACCATATTTTGAAGTAAAAAACACTTTTTATGCAATTTAACAAATGCCAAATAAATATTATAAAATATATAATGAAAGTTGTTGTCCCCAGGAGTCGTGTCACTGGTGTTACTGCGTAACAAAAAATCTCTTATTTTGAAATAAAAGTCACACTGATGACATCACTCGACTTCCTTTTACCTGTTTTCTGAGATCTATGAAGAAAAGCACATGGTGAGTCCACTGAGTCTTTCAGTTATCAGAGATTTTCTCATTTAGTTCATGATTTCATATGAAGCTTTTAGCTGAAGTCACTGGTGTGACCGACTTTATTCTGAGGTCATTGTGAAAAAATAGAACACAAATGGATTAAATTCCATATTTTAGTGGATTTTCCATGATTGACCACATGTGGTTTGATGCTCTGCAGCAGCCGTTTTGTTAAATGCATTGTTCATTAAAATGTCTCTGGTGTTCCTTTATTATGTGTAACATCAATGAGGATCAGTAACACCAGTGACTCCTATGGAGAGATAGAAAAGTGGACATTTCTGTAGAATGACCCATAAACATGACTAATTCCTTGGTAAAAAGCAGGAAAATACTGAAAGATGCGGGACAGGGGTTCTCCAGGACCAGGAATGGGAACCACTGACCTTCACCATGGACAGTTTTTCCAGTAATGAAGAAACTATCAGGTCTGCAACCACTTTATGTTTGGAATACAAAGATTTTACTGCTTCTGAATTCCTGTGTAGGAATAAGAGTCCAATTCAGAGCTGTATTTTCCAAACAGACCTGACTCACTCATAAAAGGCTTGTACTGAATCAAAGTCCAACTGAAACAAAAATGTTTAAAAAATGATCAGGGAAAAATATTCAATATTCTCTGTTTCATTAACAATCTCAAAATCTTTCCCTCTCTTTTAGAAGCCAGTCTTGAGTTGTTTCACGTTTTGAGTCGTTGTCTTGTTGAAACGTCCATCTTCTTCCCAAATTCAGTTTCTTGCCGCAAAGATGAAATTCTTCTCTAATATTTCCTGCTCCATCCATGTTTCCCTTGAAGGCGTGTGATGCTCCAGTACTGTCGCTCCCACCTTCGTACTTAGTTGTGGGAGTTCCTGAGACCATCTGAGCGTCTTTCTCCGAACATAAAGAGCTGCGTTACTGCCAGTGAGCTGAATGTTCACTGCATCTGATCAGAGAACACTGAAACAAAACTGTCCTGATTTGTTTAAAAGCTTGTGTGCAAATTTTCGACGTGCATCTTGTGCAGGAATAGAGATGATCGTGCTGCAGTCCATCGCTTACTGATCTCTGTGTCTCTGGTGTTCTGCTGTTTTCTCTCTTACACTCCTTCTCATTAGTCAGAGAGACATCTTGCACCTGTGTGTGTGTGTTGGCGGGGGGGCGGGGTGTAGATTAGGTGTGATTCCATGAACTTTCCACTCAAATATTGCTTAATAATGTTCTCCCTGACAACTTTAGCAAGCTTCACCAAGAATTGCTTCTTGTTGCATGAAATCTTCCCAACCAATAGCATCGTCTTTTATAATGACACCAGCTGCAACTTGCACAAAACTTTTTTCAAACTTTTGCAGCATTGATAACATACAACTCATCTTTAGCCTTTACAAACATTGAAATATTTTTATTTTTACCCCTCTGTGGTCTGAGGTCATTTTCTCGATTTGTTCATCTCTAAATCCTCCTTTAAAGGCTCTTCATATATCATGATCCTCATATGTTTCATATCTAAATGCTCCGTTATCTTCATCACTACTTTCCAAAACCGCTGCAGCAGCTTCAGCAGCTGTAAACTCTCTGTACTCCGTTTCACATGAGTCTCCGATGTGGACCGAATGAAGAATGAAGGGTTTCCGGTGTGATGGTCAGTCCTTCGTGATTTCCTGAGTGTCCATTGGTCAGTTTCACACAGAATGTAGACGGACACACAAGTCCACCAGTTCCACACGGTGAGAGGCAGATGACGTGTATCTCAGCCCCTCTTCATAGGCTCATAACTCCGGATGTGAGTCTCGTATGATCTCGGGATAAGATGGAATGGAAAGGGCGACTCTGGATCATCACAAAGATACACAAACAGATAAACATCGAAAAATCGTCAAAGACATTCTGTGTGTAAATCTGAAGTGGATATTTGCTGAGAATGCATAACTGTCTGAATACTCGTCTCCCCTCACTGTAACTTTTACATACTTCGATAAGCAAAATGTTGCATAAAGAAGCTGCAATTTGCACTACAGCGAATGTGACACAGAGAAAAAATGTTCCGAATGTGTCTTGACCTACACATCTTTATTGCTTTCTCTATATACATTTATTCCTCTGATGAGCTCAAAGCAAACACGTATTCACTGTAAACATTTAGAAGGAATTCATTATTCAGTATAACGACAAAATGGAAAGGCAAATCATTCCAATATTCACACTCAACATTCCTGTCATTTTTCACAAAGCATAACTGTTTAAAGAAAAGCACAGCTGACTCAGGGTGAAGAGCAGAACCTTCAGAGGCAAAAAAAAAAGGCTGACAGACTCAAAGTCGATCAAACAACGATCCGTGGGAACATAAACACCATATATGACTCATGTTTTACTGTACGATATAAAGAAATCAGAGCTGTGATCTATCTGAGTTTATCATGGCCATCAAAACAGCCGGTGGTTACCATAGCAACAACGCAAGACTTCAGCAAAGATGAACGAGGAAAACTATGGGCGAATTTCGCACAGGGGGAGGCTGGGTAATCGCATCATCACAGGTTTAGTCACGTTTCTGCTTGGTTGGAGAGAAATTGATAAAGCACCACACACACAGATACAGTCACACACATCAGGCGAGGAGGCAGACGAGCTCTCAGCGGCTGGATTTACATAATTAAATCTCACCTGTACGACCAAATTCAGCCGGTGGTGATGAAACTAATAGGTTAAAAGATTCCCTGTATGTATACAAACACACTCAAGAGCAGGGAAACCACTACGGTGTGGAGGGGGGGGGCAGGTACTTCAGCACACTGTACTACAGGGTTTCACATGATTCACTTACCTGTACCTTTATTTATTTATCTTAAATAGCAGTCAGTGATTAAGTTTTTGTTTTACATACAGGAGCTCATACTGAACACTGTGAATATTCTGTATGGTGAAGCTGATCATTCTCTTAATTTTATACATAAAAGAATTACAAGAATTTAAGTACATACTGAGATTTTTCTCTGTTTCTTTGATCTTCTACTAACAGCTTCAGAAACAAAAGCCTATGTACATAATTCATACTGTCCACAATAAGTGTGCAAATACCTACTTGTTACAGCTGCCCCCAAACCAAACACCGTGGGCCAATTACATAATTCTATATCCTACAGAATAATTACAGAACAATGTACACCGATCAGGCATAACATTATGACCACCTCCTTGTGACCAGCGCAACAAACATACCACCACCACGTCAGTGTTACTGCAGTGCTGAGAATGACCCACCACCCAAATAGTACCTGCTCTGTGAGGGTCCACGGGGGTCCTGACCACTGAAGAACAGGGTAAAAGGGGGCTAACAAAGTATCAGAGAAACAGATGGACTACAGTCTGTAACTGTAGAACTACAAAGTGCACCTATATAGTAAGTGGAGCTGATAAAATGGACAATGAGCATAGAAACAAGGAGGTGGTCATAATGTTATGCCTGATCGGTGTATGTATTTTTACAGTCTATTAATCTGTTATATTCCAGATTTTTGTCATTTTTCTAAATTTTTATTTTTCTACATCCTTTAGACAGTGCGAACATTTCATGATGAACAGCCCAACTGAAACGCTCCAAAATCACCTGGAATGCAACGACTTCACATTAACTTACATTAAAAGTTAAGGACTTACACTAAACATTTTGCCCTCTCCTGTAAAGTGACCATTTTGGAGATATATGTTTTCCTTTGGACAGCTGTGATATGTGGTCGGGCAGTGTTCTGTAGCAGGGTACTGTGTTACAGCCATGGACCGGGTCTACTCTACATGCATTCGGATGAGAGACAACAGTTTTCATTCCCCCAATTGGAAAATTTTACAATTTAATAAGAAAAAATACTTCAATAATGTTCAATACATAGACATTACATCATTATATGTGCGAATTATGCTATCGTCTGTCGTCACATGATTTGGTCAAAATAAAAAGTGCAGGCAAAAACCAGAACATTGTGAAATGTCTTAAGCAGCATTCAAGCAAAATCTCAGCGTAAGTGATTCCCATTTTCAGACAAGTACAGTTAACTATGATTCTCCACTCGAATGTACTTTGTATGTATCTGAATGTGTTTTAATTTGAATGTGTTCTCAAAACTATCATAAAACAATTATCATTTCATGTAATAACATCCCAAATTTAGAGATACTGACAAAACCTTCCTTTAAGGGCAGAATAACATGAGAAAATCCCACAGCAACACACAGCCAGACACGAAACTACCACACAAGGCAACGGACGGGAGGCTAAACGTGTGCATGCTTTTATAGAAGTGCATAAGGTGGCGTGATATTTTTCCACCCTACACAAAAGTCCGACTCCACATATAAACTATATCCACACACTAAACGACACCTTTCCCCACTTCATTTTCTCTCTCTCTCTCTTTTTTACCCCACTCACACCACAGCAGTGGAGTTAACGCTTCACCATTTATTAAAATTTAGTGCCATCAACATACTTTTCCAATCTTCACCCAGCCTCAAACTGCTCTCTGAATTCCTCCATCTCCTCTACCCTCCTCCTTTAGCCCACAGCCCTCGCTCTACCCCTCGTCCTTCAGCGGCGAGACTCATTCTGTGGCCCCCAGGTTTGCCTCTGCCTCCTCCTCTACAGGGGTGTGGTCTGATCCTCCTCCATCTCCCTGGAACAGCTCCTCCAGAAGCTCCTCCCCGGCTCCTCCGGCTCGCGAGGCCCACAGCGCCGCTCCTTCTCGCAGCCCGATGGAGCGCAGTATGCGGGCGTAGTCGGCGAAGGCTGCACCTATCAGCTTATGTGAAAGCCAGCAGGTTAAGGAGAACGCACGGCTGGTGTGAGAGGTTATGGTTATCATCTCTACAAGCCGACAAGCTGTTTAAGTTTAAAGTATCTATCTGGCGGTGGAGAAAAGGCACTGCAAGAAACGTCTCTGAAAAAAAGGTTCTGTTTCAAAAGTCACTAACAATGATGGAAAAAAAGGCTTTTTGCAAAACCTTGAGTGGGTTTTACTGATAAAATAGAGAAAAGTAGCTTCTCTATAGCGCCATCTGCTGGTTAATACCAAAAATGGACAGCTTGGCTCACGAACTTAGACTTCTGAAGCAGTCTTAGCATCTTTAAGTGTTTATCATGGCCTTTTGTTTATAACCTAAAGGATAATTTCATCGTTTTCTCACAATTTCTGCATAATTCAGCGTGTGCGATGTAAGCAAAGCCACTCTCTAGAACGCAGCACTTCAAAACCATTGTGAAAAAAAAATGTATTTTGGCAAATGAAATCATCTTAAATCTAGTCGATATATGTATTGGTACTAACTCTGAGACTAAATTTGTAAATTGTAAAAATATTATACCTTTTTTACTTATTTCCAGGCATTTTTACTAGTTTTAAAAGTGAAATTGGTAACACTTTCTATGAATGTCACCTTTGTAAGCATCTATAAACACATTCATAACATGTTATAATGCATTCATAAGGCATTATAAACATGGCTATACATATTTATAAAAATGCATTACATATTATAGCCATGTTTATTATGCATAATGAATTGTTAACATAATACATTATAAGTACTGTTCATAACAAATTATAAGAGCTCATAAGTCGTATTTGTCCGCTCTAAGTAAAGTGAAGCGTACTGTACTAAAGCCTCCTCCAGTGTTCAGAGAGGCTTCAAGTTGAAGTATTTACTGAAGGATTTACTGAAACAGTAAAACATACACAAAAAAGCACATTACAGGCTTCAAATGTCAGAGTTTAAACTAGAGCTGCCATCAGTGTTTTACCCAATGTGGGAAAGGTAATGTTCACCACCGTTAGCTTGGTATTTGTCTTTACTTTACACTCTCCAAGCTGGGACTGACTTCTTTGGCACTGACTTTATTAACATGTTATTAACACTATTTATAATGCATTATATTAACAATTCATAATGTATAATAAACATGGCTATAAAGAGTAATTCATTTTTATAAATGTTCATAATCATGTTTATAATGCTTTATGAATACATTATAACATTTTATAAATGTGTTTATAGATGCTTACAAAGGTGACATTCATAGAAAGTGTTACCGTGAAATTTGTATTATATTAATAGATACGTTTGCTTGTGTCAATCGTGTTTCTTTAAACAGCAATATTATCTCTCAATATAGTGAGAATTCCATTTGAAGAAAAAAAAACCTTAAAACAAGTAGAATGTCTGGAAATGTTTTAAGTAAAATAATCTACTGTTCTTAAAAAATATTCTTTTTTTATAATGATAAATATTAAACACATCAACTAGATTTAAGATCATTTCACTTGCCAAGATATTTACTTTAACTGTTTAATTAACTATGTAATCATGCAGTACTTTAAAAAAACTGGTGGAATTCCCCTTTAAGAATGATCTGCTTGCACTGTCGTTTATCTAGTTACTGAATAATAAGCCTGAGATTTACTGAGATTGACCAGGTGCACACAATTTAGCAACAGGTGGCATCTTTGAAAGGATATTAGTGGTGTCATTGGCCTCCATCACGCCGTACTTCAGACAGGCTTCGATAAAGAGTGCTGCTCGGTCAAAATGCCTCATGCTGTTAGAGAAACATGTCAGTCAGCTTTCCGAGGGGTTTTCAGTAAAACCTGTCAGCCACTCCCTTCAGAAAGCTTCCTGGGAGCGGCTAACTGGAGCATAAACATGCAAAGTAGCTCTCTCAGAGTCTACAGTCCATCTCTCTCTCTCACACACACACACACACACACACACAAACAAAACAATCAATACTCTATGATTGGAAACACAAGGTTTCATCCTAATATAATTCTACTGGAAAAATCAGGAAAAATAGAGAGAATCAAGAAAGAAAGTCTTAACAGAATGAGAAATAAACAGAACTGGAAAACCCTCACCGCTATTTAATGATTAAGATTAAGTGACCCTTATTAATCCCACAACGGGGAAATTTCACCTCCGCATTTTAACCCATTTGTGCAGTGAAACACCACATACACACTAGTGAACACACACTAGGGGGCAGTGAGCACACTTGCCCAGAGCAGTGGGCAGCCCTATCCGCAGCACCCGGGGAGCAGTTGGGGGTTAGGTGTCTTGCTCAAGGGCACTTCAGTCACGGACTGTCAGCTAAGGGGATCAAACCGGTGACCTTCTGGTCACAAGGCTGGTTCCCTAACCTCCAGCCCATGACCGCCCTGAAAAGGAGGTGCACCAGGTCGATGCGTGGAGGGGATGGAGCGAGCTCCTCCTCCGTCTCCCTGTTCTAAAGATCAATTTAATATGTAGTCCTCATACAGAGGACAGACCACATATTAAACTGATAAGAACAGATTACTACACTTGATCTTAGCCCAAAGGCTGGGAAGTGATAGAAGAGCACACATCTTGGAAAACTGAATTTTTTTAACTTAAGTAATATGAGTCTGATGCAGTCTGTAAACTCTCTCATGTTGAGACTGCAGGAAGATTAAGCAAGTAAGATTATTTAACTTAATTCTAGACATATTTACTGGTTAAAGTATGTTTTAAGTGAAAGTATCTCACTACATTGGTAGATAATTTTGCTTATTTTTCAAAATATGCTAGAAACAAGCAAACTTACAGAGACGTCATGTCACTTGATAAAATTACTTAATAAAAAAATGTCAACACTAGTTTATTCTACCACAAAAACACTTTTTTGACATTTTAATGCAGACTGTTTATTTGCTGAATTTAATTTTTTGTTGGGGCGGTCGTGTCAAATATAAAACATAAATTGAAGTCTGTGAAAAAGTTATGGCACATTTTATATTTAAGGATTTTTCCCCAGTATGTTAAACTCAGCAAATAAATAGAAACTCTACCCTAAAATTAGTAAAAAATGGCATATTTATGTGTGTTACTTATTTTCACTTTGAAAATCAATAAAAAATTTAATTTCACTGCAGGCCTTCAAACCTTTTACATATGACTGCAAACCTCACATAAACACACAAATTAACAAAATAATAAAATAAAAATATGTTGCCAAAAAATGCTGCAAAAACTGGTATCTTGGCAAGTGACATCATCTTTGACCTAGTTGACATATCTAATATTTCTCGTGTTGAGATGGTTGCAAGCTTATTATAAGACTATTTAACTTATAAACATTTTATCTCACTATATTGCAGATAATGTTGCTTATTTTAAGAAATATGCTAGAAACAAGCCAATTTATTTGCCAATATATGGAGATCATATCACTTGGTAAAATTACTGAAAACATATAAAAATGTCTAGAAATAATTATTATTCTCATATGTTCTCATAACACACTTACAGCAATCTCAGCATGAGAATTATTAGATTTATTCACCAGATATAAGATGATTTCACTTGCCAACATACTGCTTTTTTGCAGTGTGTGTGTTTATTAGGTTTTGGGGTTCTCTTATTTTTATGTCTTATTCAGGAAGAACATATATGCACTACACACACACACACACACATCATCTATACCGCATATCCTTCTGGGTCGTGGTGGGGTGCTGGAGCCTATCCCAGCAGTCATTGGGCGGAAGGCAGGATACACCCTGGACGGGTCGCCATTCCATCGCAGGGCCATACATGCACTACATACTTTATTTTAAGAGGACAGGCTTGCGTTCTGAAATGTTATTCGGGACTAAAAATGGAAAAAATGTTCATATTCTCACTTACAAGCAAAGCAAGGAGGGGAATGTAGTGTCAGTGGTTCTGGATTAACCTGGACTTACAATATGTGTACCTGCTCATAACCAAGACTCTTGTTCGACGAGAAGAACAGAAGAAAAAGACCAAGATCGGCTACATTCGATGAGAGAAAAGGAAGGAAGGATGTACGGAGGTGAGGGAGTGGGGAGGGAGAGATGGATGGAGATGAGAGACGCAGACCTGTGGAGCATCTCGCCCACTTTGTGGAAGCAGCCCAGCGACAGCAGAACCAGGATGGCTTTAGACTTCTGGTTGACCTGAGGAGAGCAGAGGTGCTCGGCCCAGCGCTTCAGCACGTCTGAAGCCTCTGCAGGGTTCAGACGCACCTGAGGGTAAGAGAGAGAGCTTCGTTATCCAATATAAACCCACACGTCAGGAATACAGGTAAGAGTTCACATTAGGTAACAATGCTGTAGAGCTGACGATGCAGGACACGCTTCTTCCTAAAAGGCCCTTCAGACTGTCACCACCTACAAAAGGAAAACTCATAGTGATCTCAGCTTGACGAGCTCAAAAGCAGCTGCAGAACTGAAGCACAGTGACACGGCTGCCCCTCGTCCACAAGAGAAGTTAATGCCTCCCATCACGACTCCCTCGTCTTCATCTCGGGACATCACGTCCTCGGGCTATTCAGCAAACATAATTGCCAAAAAGCACTATGACCTGACCTGGACTCCCCTACTACATTAAAGCCCTGGAATAACCACCGAGCTCCACTATTCAGAGACATTTTCAATTAAACCTTGGCCGGTGACCACTTCAAACCTCCCATTAATGTGTCAGTTCGAAAAAAAGGGTAAAATAACCACTCACTCACTCTCAGCACATATTCACTGCTTTCTCCCCAACTCTATATTCTGGGTACCATTCTGGAAATACTGAGGTTTGGAGATGAAATAACCCTCATAGGCCTAATTATTCTATCTTGATAGGTTATAATTAGGAAAAGAAAACCACAGCCATAAATACCAAGACTCTAAAACTCCTTTCAGAAGCAGGACAAAGCTGCACTTTTCTGAAGGGAGAAACAGAACTGGACGAGAGTCATTGTCATTGGTTGGGTTGTTCAGGTTGTTCAATGATTCAAGAACTTGGTGGCAACTGAGTAACATCTTTACAAGGCAGCATCTTTTGGAGTCCTCGAGAAACACAAAACTCAGTCCGGAAGAAACAGTGACCGTATGTGAAATGCAAATAAAACAAAGCAGTGATTTGTAAATCCACTTTGACCTGTATTTAAACTACACCGATCAGGCATAACATTCTGACCACCTCCTTGTTTCTACACTCATTGTCCATTTTATCAGCTCCACTTACTATATAGGTGCACTTTGTAGTTCTACAGTTACAGACAGTAGTCCATCTGTTTCTCTGCATACTTTGTTAGCCCCCTTTTACCCTGTTCTTTAGTGGTCAGGACCCCCATGGACCCTCACAGAGCAGGTACTATTTGGGTGGTGGGTCATTCTCAGGACTGCAGTAATACTGACGTGGTGGTGGTGTGTTAGTGTGTGTTGTGCTGGTCTGAGTGGATCAGACAAAGCAGTGCTGCTGGAGTTTTTAAACACTGTCCACTCGCTGTCCACTCTATTAGACACTCCTACCTTGTCAGTCCACCTTGTAGATGTAAAGTCAGAGACGATAGCTCATCTGCTGCTGCACAGTTTGTGTTGGTCATCCTGTAGTCCTTCATCAGTGGTCACAGGACGCTGCCCACAGGACGCTGTTGGCTGGATATTTTTGGTTGGTGGACTATTCTCAGTCCAGCAGTGACACTGAGGTGTTTAAAAACAATACAGTGAGATACTTTAACTTAAAAAATACTTGAAAAAAGTAAAATGTCTAGAAATAAGTTAGTGTCTGATCCACTCAGACCAGCACAACACACACTAACACACCACCACCACGTCAGTGTTACTGCAGTGCTGAGAATGATCCACCACCCAAAGAGTACCTGCTCTGTGAGGGTCCATAGGGGTCCTGACCACTGAAGAACAGGGTAAAAGGGAGCTAACAAAGTATCAGAGAAACAGATGGACTACAGTCTGTAACTGTAGAACTACAAAGTGCACCTATATAGTAAGTGGAGCTGATAAAATGGACAATGAGTACAGAAACAAGGAGGTGGTCATAATGTTATGCCTGATCGGTGTGTATCAGCAAGAATTTCATGAAAATTATCTAAAGGAGAGGAACACAACGACCCTTTGGCAGCCAGACATGTAACAGGCTGCCATAGCCTGAGGGATACTTGATGACAATATCAACACAGCACCATTGACAGTAATTTGTATGCTGAGTATGTCTTGGCTGGCTGACTGGCTGGCTTTGTTTCTGCGGGGTGGCAGATCCAAATGAATACTGTGACAGGTTATGTGCATCCTATCTATTCCACAGTAGGAAATACCCACAAACTCATTCAGCTCTACTTCTTCCCCATTAACATTTTTTGGCAGCGTCTGCCTCATACAGTAGACCTGTGAGGCTGACAGCTTCTGGCGGGTGCTGTACCTTTGCCAGCCAGGCAGCGCGGTTCCATTCCCCATACGTCTGCAGATACCGACATGCATCCGCCGCTTTGTCAATCAGGCACAGCAACTGCACCCCCTCTGCAGAGAGAGAGAGAGAGAGAGAGAGGAGAGAGAGAGAGAGAGAGAGCAAGCAGGGAGTAAAAACAGCACAATGGCACAGTCAATTACCAACAACAGCTCTGGAAGTCCCTTGACAAATGCGTGTCTGTATGTGTGGTGTGGCGTTCAGGGCTGAGGGGTGCAATAATCCTCCGCTGTGCTGTCATGAGGGCTGGAGTTTGGCACCCTGTTTTTTTTTTTAGTGCGTGAAGTGATGAGGAAAAGTGCCCTGGGTTCTCTGCGAAGACTGTGTAGGGCCTTCTTTGAGGTCTTTCTGAAAGGAGTGACACTAAGAACCAGGGGTGTAAAAGTGTGGCGTTCTGCACAAACTCTTTTCAAATGGTGAAATTTTTACTTTTTGGGATTTTTAAGCTTTTTAACAAAATTAACACTCAAGTTTTAATAATGATAATAATAACTAGAAAGGGAAAGCTCGTGAACGAACTTTAAGATGGCTTGAAAAAGCCAGCTAATTCTGTTAAAACGTTAAAATGGTGGAAGACTGTCGATGGTTGTTAAAATGTTGCTAAGCGGATGCTGCGGTATCCAAGGCGGATGGTAATGCATTGGTAGGTGCCATCCTTAAATTCTGTGCCACCTTAAATTTAGTGCTATGTTAATTGCAGTTCCACCTTAAATTCAGTGCCCCCTTAAATGTAGTTCCACCTTAAATTCAGTGCCACCTTAAGTTTAGTGCTACCTTAAATGGAGATCCACCTTAAGTTCTATGCCACCTTAAATGTAGTTCCACCTTAAATTCAGTAACACCTTTATTTTAGTGCTACCTTAAATGAAGTTCCACCTTAAATTTAGTGCCACCTTAAATGAAGTTCTACCTTAAATACTGATACTGCTGTGCATTAGGTTGTAAGCGTGTGAGTCTGTGTGTACTGTGCATGAGTGTCTGTGTGAGAGATGTCCATTGTGACTTCTGGCAGGTACATTTGAATGTCCCGAACATTGCGCCCATTCATTTCCTACGGGAAAAAATATCGTCTTTGAACGATAATTTTACTTTTTATACACTTTTTATTCTGGTGGCAGCTCAAAGTGATTTACGGACAGGTGATAAAGCTTAACAGTAATGCAAGAAATTATAAGCATTAAGTTTGAATCATATAAGAAAATGACACAGATCACATTAAAAGATAAATACCAAAAGGATAAACTGACCTTCTCCTTCCTTATTCAAGTGGGTTATCTTCCGTTTAATCTTCTCAGAAAACTTAGAAAAACGAATAACTTGTACTTAATGGCCATTTGACTGGAGTTCAAAGTCGACTGGAAACGAAGGATGGTCTCTGACTTTTGCACAGTATTGTATATTGATGAAAAATGTATGAAAAATACAGCCCATGGATATGAAATGTACCAACAATTACAAAATGACTTAAAAGTGATGAAAAACATGGAGTGCATGCAGAATAGTCTCAGGAATAGCTGACAGCCTGTCATAGGAGAGCTACACAGGTGGGAAATCAGCAATACTGAGTGACATTTTGTGGACATTTTGTGTACCTGCCAGCTTGCCGCTGGCGATCATGTTGGTGGCCACCAGCTTGATGGTGCTCTGGGATGGCCCGGAGGAGGGGATGGTGGTCACCAGACAGGCCTTGAGCGAGTCGCAGTAGTAGCTGGGGTTATCTGCGCTCGTTTCCAACAGCAGCTGCACCGCTCGATCCGTCTGTGGAGACAAGCAAACGTCACAGTTACGTAGCCTGTAAATGAACTGGTTTTCTGTAACTGACTCAGTCTGATTACATTAACACTTACATAAAGAATGCATAGATTCAGAGCACAGCAGACAGAAGCAGGTGCTCTGCTCTGACTTGTCAGATTGTAAACAAAACAGTAGAGTAGAAGTAAAATTATTATTGATTATTATATTATGAGCAGTACTTATTACTCTGACATTGAGTAGAATTCATTGGATTTATAAGGATGTGAGTTAACTGGATTTCAAATGTCATACAAGTCTGGAGCAAAGCTAGCACTGTTAAAGCTGAGCCTAGCTCTAATCTTAACTCTTCATATGAGTTGACTTGTGTACATTGCTAGAAATCTCTTTCAAAAAAATAAAATAATAAAGGCATGTACATTAATCTTCTACATTCCTATTTAACAAAACAACAGCTTAGGTGTACAATTTAAGGTTTAATAATCTTGAGTTAGAAAATTGACCGAACTCAAAGCTGAACACACTGTGGTAAATAAAGTTAAAAGGTCTATGTCTCAGCATTGTGCAGTGAACCGATCACACTCAGAAGGAGAGCTCAGAAAAAAACAATGCAGTGATTTGGACCAATGATAGTTAGGAGAAGGTCTCAGAACACAATGACAAGGTGATTAAGACCAATCACAGTCAGGGGGAGGTCTCAAAACACAATGACAGGGTGATTAGGACCAATCACAGTCAGGGGGAGGTCTAAGAACACAATGACAAGGTGATTAGGACCAATCACAGTCAGGGGAGGTCTCAGAACACAATGACAAGGTGATTAGGACCAATCACAGTCAGGGGAGGTCTCAGAACACAATGACAAGGTGATTAAGACCAATCACAGTCAAGGGAGGTCACAAAACACAATGACAAGGTGATTAGGACCAATCACAGTCAGGGGGAGGTCTCAAAACAAAATGACAGGGTGATTAGGACCAATCACAGTCAGGGGGAGGTCTCAGAACACAATGAAAAAGTGATTAAGACCAATCACAGTTGGGGGGAGGTCCCTGAATAAACACTGCAGTGATTTGGATGAATCATTGTAAGGGGGACGGCATCTCAAAACAGATTATGGAGTGATATTGACCGATCACAATCAGGGGGAGGTCTCAGAACACAACGATGAGGTGATTAGGACCAATCACAGTCAGGGGGAGGTCTCAGAACACAACGATGAGGTGATTAGGACCAATCACAGTCAGGGGGAGGTCTCAGAACACAACGATGAGGTGATTAGGACCAGTCACAGTCAGAGGGAGGTCTCAGAACACAATGACAAGGTGATTAGGACCAATCACGGTCAGGGGGAGGCCTCAGAACACAACGATGAGGTGATTAGCACCAATGACAGTCAGGGGGAGGCCTCAGAACACAACGATGAGGTGATTAGGACCAATCACAGTCAGGGGGAGGCCTCAGAACACAATGACGAGGTGATTAGGACCAATCACAGTCAGGGGAGGTCTCAGAACACAATGACAAGGTGATTAGGACCAATCACTGGTCAGAGGGAGGTCTCAGAACACAACGATGAGGTGATTAGGACCAATCACGGTCAGGGGGAGGTCTCAGAACACAACAATGAGGTGATTAGGACCAATCACAGTCAGGGGGAGGTCTCAGAACACAATGACAAGGTGATTAGGACCAATCACAGTCAGGGGGGAGATCTCAGAACAAAACGATGAGGTGATTTGGACCAATCATGGTCAGGAGCAGGTCTCAGAACAAAACAATGAGGTGATTAGGACCAATCACGGTCAGGGGGAGGTCTCAGAACACAATGACAAGGTGATTAGGACCAATCACAGTCAGGGGGGAGATCTCAGAACAAAACGATGAGGTGATTTGGACCAATCATGGTCAGGAGGAGGTCTCAGAACAAAACGATGAGGTGATTAGGACCAATCACAGTCAGGGGGAGGTCTCAGAACACAACGATGAGGTGATTAGGACCAATGACAGTCAGGGGGAGGTCTAAGAACACAACGATGAGGTGATTAGGACCAATGACAGTCAGGAGGAGGTCTCAGAACACAATGACAGGGTAATTAGGACTAATCACAGTCAGAGGAGGTTTTAGAACTAAGAACGTGGTGTTAAGGACCAATCATAGATGGAGGGAGGTCTCAAAATGAAAAACATGGAGATTTGGACCAATCACTGTCAGGAGGAGGTCTCAGAACAAACACTGCACAAACAAACTCAGATCTCCAAGTCAATTTTGCCAAAAAATTGTTTTGTCTCAAAATGCCATTATGATCTGAAGCATTCTGCCCACGCAACTGTTCCATAATATTATTTCTACTCTTTGATACTTATTGAAATGTCTTTCTCACTGGAAACCAGATGCAGTTGAGGTCCGTAATACTCGACCACATTGGCCAAGAACTTATATGGGAACGCACACAATGCCTTTTATGTTTAGCCACCCATGAAAAGCTCTAATTGAAAATGCTCCCACACACGCAGCCATTGATTTGTCTCCCAACGACCACAGAAGATAGCAGAAGATTGCAGGGATTGCACGCAGGATAATTTGCGAGGTGCATGCCTCGATGAGTGTGTGAGCGCGAGGAAGAGAGAGTGAGCAAGCAGGGGAAAGATGAACAAATCCATCAAATAAAGGCTGAAGGGCACCTCATTCTTCTTCTCATCTGCTCAAGTAGGGTAATAATCAGAGATAAACTCACCTAAATTCCATATTAACTGTCAAAATCCATAGAGCTTATGGCATTTCCCATGTTATTAGCCATCACATATGCCTACTTCCTCAGCCTCTCTAAAGGACAAGGGTAAATAGTAAAGGACTGGTGGTGTTCAAATGGCCTTTCGGTCTGTAATGTTAGTTCCTCAAATACCCTTTTAATCATAACTGGTGAGGATTTTAATTGTGAGTGATTCTTGATAATGGTAACTCTGACAGATGAATGTGTTTGGTAATGCTGTAGTACTCAAGTCTGATATCAAGGCTGTGCATTAAAGGGGACATATTATGCTCATTTTCAATTTTTGGGGTCCAATAAAATAGATTTACATGCTTCAGTGTTTACATGCACTCAATAATTTCTTCAGTTATCCAATTATTAAAATGGTTGTGTTTAAACACCATACTACGCCGGCGTTTAGGGCCACTGTTCATAAAAATAAAAATAGCAGACTTTGAGAATAAAGTTATAATATTTTTAGAAAAAAAGTCGAAATATTTCAAGAAAAAAGTCCTAATATTACGAGGACAAAGTGGGCTAACTGTAGGGGGGCTAACTGTAGGGGGGCTGCCATAACGCGTTGGGGTCTTGGTTGCTGTACTGGCGCCGGAGCTCCACTCACTCCTGTCTCTCTGTGGATCATTCTGATCATCATTCTCACTGTCTGTGAAACTTCATGCCCTCTTTGAATGGGGGGAGATGCAGCCCCCGATAGCCGTGTAGACGACCCTGCCTGCGATTCTCCTTCAACAACACAGACAGACAGTTTCCTCCGAGTCCGTCTGGCTCTTTATTCTAGATAAACACAGTTTCCTGCTCAGCCGTTTCAGCCGGTTCTTATCCTAATAACAGGCTGGTGCTGATGTGCAGGGAGAGACAGGGAGACTGAGTGTTTCTTTATGGGTGAATCGATATGAAAGTAGAACTCCACCAACTCACACACCCCTCATTTAACACGAGGAGGCGCTGCTTCACTTCGCAAAGCCTTTGGCCACAATATTGCAACCTTTCCTGGTATTAACGCCACTTTAATGTCGTAATTCTACGACTTTAAATATTATGACTTTTTTCTTGAAATATTACGACTTTATTCTCAAAGTCTACTATTTTTACTTTTATTAATAGCCCTAAAGTGCCATCATACCAAACTCCGATCTAGAAATCCGATTAAGAAATCTGATAAAGAGAGCTGGATTTTAGCTCAGTAATCAGATTTCTCATAAACTCTTGTAAATGTAAACTCTTGTAAATGCAATCTCTCACCCTGCTTTCTTTCGGATTGGCGGTACCAGAAATAAGTGAGCAGCGCTGCTGTGAGATGGCCACAAAACACTTTTTGAGTGGCGCTGAAACCAAACACGAAATAAAGGATTTAAATATTCATCTTCTAGATGATGTATGTTCATATTTTCAGGTAAAATGGCGTAATGTTTAAAAAAAAGCTGCAGCATGAAGTTTGAGTTTTACATTACATTTACGTCACATCTTCGTCTGTGAGTTTACTGACTGGTTGCAAAGCAGAAATCTGATTACTGTCTCACTCAAAATCTGATTTTCTGCAGTTATCGGATTATTAAGTGCATATAACGCACTCATTGTTTTTCTCATACTGTACATCTCTGTTCACTCTCTGTCTGAAATGCTCTGTTAAGAGCACCTGTATCTTTACGCCCCGCCTCCTGATGAGCCCTGTGTGCTTTGATTGGTCGTCTCGCCTACTGTTCTGATTGGTCAACCACCAGAGCAGCAACCTGCCACAAGTTCCTTCTCTACACCGATGTGACTGTTCTTACAATGGTGTCGGTTCTGCCGTATCAGATTGAGCAGGTCTGATCCTGAAAGTCAGGTAGATCAAGTTAGACCTGATCCACCTTCGCAAGCTGGACTGGAGCAGGATGTTTCAGAGCAGGACGCTTTTACTCTGCAGCTCTCTGTGTGAGGGCGTGCCGAGCTCGCCGGTAGGCAGGCAGTAAGGACTGTGTTACGAGATAATGTCATCTTGTAACAAAGGAAAAAGGCTGGAATTCCAACAAGGCATTTCAGAAAAGTGGATTCTTTGGAAGAAAGTTTCTCCCTCTGGAGTGAACTTTGAGCTTTGCAGAACGTTTACATTCACAAAAAGCTACACAACACACTAAAGGAAAGGGAAAAACCAGAAAAGCATAATATTTATAGCATTTAATAGACTCACACAGTTTTCATTTAGTCTCAGTTTCAAATAAAGGAGAACTTTTAAAGCCCCACGGAACCTAAATCTGAACCTAAAACTGATATAACTGACATATTTTGATTAAATTCTCCTTTTTCAATGTCAACTAGGAGGTCCTAATCTTGAGCAGTGCTTACATGAGCAGTTTCCTCACCAATCACAAGGGTTATATCATCTTTCTCACCTAAACAGCTTTAACAAAACTTTGGCCTCTGAGTCAAGTAAAGCTAACCACCAAGCGAAAGCTAACCTAGCAAGCATAACTCATCCGTCTGCCTGTTATGTGTTCATTTGTTTGTCTGGTCAGCATTCCCTGAATGCACACTCAGAACTAAAGTGAACAACCACCTTACCTTCTTTTAGGATATTGCTATATCAAAACTGGATAATGTTTTCAGTGAGTGGACACTGTGGGGACAGTCTACAACACCACCTGTAAATTTAGGGCCCATTTCACTTGCGCTGCTCTGCTTCAGTGACGTAGCAGGCTCTGAACGGTGGACTGACGGCTGTCAATCATGCAAGCTCATCAGAATACAAACCGAAAACCAAAAATATCGGGACAGTAGGAAAAATGTGAATAAAAACAGACAGGAATGATTTACTCCCTTTTTATTTGTATTCTATTAAAAACAGTACAAAGATATTTAATGTTTCTCCTAATTAACTTGTTGTTTTTGTATACATACGCTTATTCTAAATTTGATTCCTGCAACAAAAAACTTGGGACATATATGGTACATCGCGCTTCTTAATGTGTAGCATGTTTTCAAAGGGAAACATTTCAGGCAGGCAAGTCTAGTGCCTGCACTCTCTTACTACCAAGCCACGCAGTTGTAACGTGCAGAACGTTGCTTGGTGTTGTATTGCTGAAACAAGTAGGGACGTCCCTGAAAAAGACTGCGTCTAGATGGCAGCATATACTGCACTACAATGCATAGGTGCCCCTCTGCATTAATGGTGCCTTCACGTTACCCACTAACACAGCCCCTATACCACCTGGTAACAATCTGGGTGGTGTTATTCCTCTCTGGCCTGGAGAACAAGATGTCCACTATTTCCATAGACGATCTGACAGTGGGATTCGTCAAAGATCAGCACAAATTTCAAACCTAACCTGTATGAACCGCCCCTTCTGATGCTGCTGCTGCTGCAGAGACTCGAATTATTTAATCAGAGCCATTGCTTCACCTGCTTTTCCCCTTTTTCTGCATTTTAATATTTTATACTAACGTTAAAGCCTTATTTTCTGTTTTTACAGCTCTTTTGTTTTTGTTTGCTATCTGACGGCGACCAGAGGAGGATGGGTTCCCCTTTTGCGTCTTGGTTCCTCTCAAGGTTTCTTCCTCTTGCTCTTAGAGAGTTTTTTTCTTGCCACTGTCACCACTGGTGACGCTCATGGGGGTTCGTACCTGGATTGTTCTGTAAATTCTGCTTTGCGACAACACCTGTTGTAAAAGCGCTATACAAATAAACTTTGACTTGATTTGACATTTCCACGAAGCCTCAGTCCATTTCAGATCTGCTTTAGCCCAGAGAAGTTGGCGGCGTTTCTGGAAATTGTTGCTATATGGCTTCCGCTTTGCAAAGTAGAGTTTTAAGCTGCATTTGTAGATGCAGCAACCGACTGTGTTTACTGACAAGGCTTTCCTAAGTATTCCTAAGCCCATGTGGTTAGATTTATCACAGCAGCATGTCTGTTTTTAAGCAGTGCCATCTACACACAGAGATTTCTCTGAATCTATTAATCATGTTATGGACTGTAGATGGTAAAATCGCTAAATTCTGAACTAAACGCTGGACTATCTGGTCACACAGCTCCTTGCACGACAGCATCACCTGTTACCTACTGATCATTCTACAAACTTACATTGCCCCTGTCCCAACTTTCTTGGAATGTGTTGCAGGTATCAAATTTGGAATTATAGTATATTCACAAAAATCAATAAAGCTGATAAGGTAAAATATTAAATCTCTCTTTTTTGTGCTGTTTTCAATTAAATACCGTTAAATTAAAGACAGTTTTCAAATCACTGCATTTTGTTTTTATTTGCCTTTTACCATTTTTAGCAACTGTCCCTTTTTTGGAGCTGGGTTTGTATTAGGCGACTCTCAGACAGTTCTCAGATTACTGAGCTTGGGGCGGCACGGTGGTGCAGTGGGTAGCGCTGTCGCCTCACAGCAAAAATGGCCTGGGTTCGATTCCCGGCCGGGCGGGCGACCAGGGTCATTTCTGTGTGGAGTTTGCCTGTTCTCCCTGTGTCTGCGTGGGTTTCCTCCCACAGTCCAAAAACATGCAGTCAGGCCGATTGGACGTGCTAAAATTGCCCCTAGGTGTGAGTGTGTGTGTGTGACTGTGTATGTCTGTCTGTCTGCCCTGCGATGGACTGGCGACCTGTCCAGGGTATATCCTGCCTTCCGCCCAATGACAGCTGGGATAGGCTCCAGCACCCCACCGCGACCCAGAAGGGTAAGCGGTTTAGATGATGTATGTATGTATATTACTGAGCATCAACAACATAAACAAAATTAAACTGCCACATTTTCTGCATCTTTAAAATACAATCTTCACTCAGATCAGCTAGCGGGAAAAAACAAGTCACCTCATTCATGCCTACTGTCAATACTTCGAATGTAGAGCTGTTGTCGGTGTCTGTCATGTATAATGAATGTAAAATGAACACATCTCTTTTTTATATGTTCTGTTTATTATTGATAGTGGCAAACCATGAAAACACAAAAGGAGTAACTAACCTGTCCCAGAAGAAGCAGCTGGTCAGCGCATTTTTTAGTGTGCTCATAGCTGGACCTCTTCACCTCCTGCAGATGAACCCTCTCAAGCTGGAACCTCTGCTCAGAGAGAGAGAGAGAGAGACAAAGAGAGATGCAAACAGGACACTTCAGTCATTTCCTTTCATCTGTGAGAGCTCTGACAACAGAGAAAGGCAGAGGGGAGAGGCAGAGGGGAGAGACAGAGGGGAGAGACAGAGGGGAGAGACAGAGGGGAGAGGCAGAGGGGAGAGGCAGAGGGGAGAGAGGGGCCTATTTAGCGCAGAAGACTCGCATCAACAAACAACAAAAAATCTTGCCCTAAAAATGATTCACCTTCTTTTTGGTTTGTGTTTTTGCACAGCGTTTCAGTTCACATCAGAGTTTGTTCCATTTTTATGTGGGTTGCTGTGGTAAGCAGAGAAAAGGGTCCTGCATCCGTGACATTTCTACGCCACTCCATTAGTCAGAAACAGAGAGAGGGAACTGGGACGAAAAACAACTCAAAAGTGGAGCGACTCATTTTGGACAGTAGGGGTCTCGCCAAGTCTCGCAAAACCCACAACAAAATCAGCAGGCATGAATTATTATTTCCACACTGGGGCAGAATGGGGGAGAAAAACTGGTTCATGTCAGTAAATTTTACCACATCACATGTAGGTGGTCATTTGATGCACATTGATTTTCATTTAAAAAACAATGTGTAATAAGAATAATAACAATTATTATTATTATTATTATTATTATTTATAGAACACCTTTCATGTCACTACTGTTGATACTACTGTATCTCCAAAAGGATAACTTTACAGGAGAAGGAAAAAACATACTTCACTTTTAGTGTAAGTCTATGTAAATGTTTTTGTATGTAAAGTTTCCAAGCTATTTTGGTTCACTTCTTTTGGTCCATTCATCATAAAATATACACAAAACATTAAGAGCAACAGGCATTTCTAAATTATGTCAAAAAAAAAGAAAAACAAAAAAAACATGGCGCTGTCAGAGGATCCTACAAGTCCGTTCATGTAATTTCTGCCCTGCCCAGAGTGCCAAAGTGCATAGCCTGTAAAAAATTGCCATCCTCTGTTGCATCCCTCACTACACAGTTCCAAGCTGCCTCTGGAAGCAATATCAGCACATTAAATTGGTTTCACATTGAATCACATTTCACTATCTGGCAGTCTGATGGATGAATCTGGGTTTGGTGGATGCCAGGAGAATGGCACCTACTGGAATGCGTAGGGCCAACAGTAAAGTTTGGTGGAGGAGGGATAATGGGCTGGGCTGTTTTTCAGGGATTGGGCCCCTCAGTTCCAGTGAAGGGTGATGTTGATGCTACAGCACAAAGACATTTTACACAGTTATCTGCTTCCAGCTTTGTGTCAGCAGTTTGGGGGAGAGCCTTTCCTGTTCCATTACTGAACCCCTGTGCAAAAAGCAGCTCCATAAAAACATGGTTTGAGGAGTTTAGTGAAGAGGAACTCCAGTGGCCTGCACAGAGCCCTGACCTCAACCCCACTGAACACCTTTGGGACGAACTGGAACAGAGATCGTGAGCCAGGCCCTCTTGTCCAACAACAGTGTCTGACCTCACAAATGCTCTTTTGACCGAATGGACACAAATTCCCACAGACACTCTCCAACATCTTGTGGAAAGCTTCCCAGAAGAGTGGAGGCTGTTATAGCTGCACAGAGGGGCAACTCCATGTTAGTGATCATGGTTTTTGAATAGCATGTCCAACAACCTTATACAGGTGTGATGGTCAGGTGTCCACATGCTTATGGTCATATAGCGTATAAGAAGGTGCTAATCCACTATTGGCTTTAAAAATAAGCTTAAATTGCATTCTGTACTGAGCAGGAAACCAGTACTCAGCATTCAGGTCCATTAGTCCATCACATGGAAAGTGCTGGCATACCTCTTTGGAGGTGCATTTCTATTCCTCACTGCCCTCATACTGATTGGATTCTGGGCACACAGTAGGAGAAAGTGATGAAACTCAAACAAGAGTCAGTCCACCTCACTGAGGCATAATGAACACTATTGGGAGCAGCAATAAAGTAAGAAATGAAACTGTCCACAAAATGACATGCTGAATTTTTAAAACACCCAAAAGCATCCAATCAGCATTATTAAACAGAGTGTGTGTGTGTGTGTGTGTGTGTGTGTGTGTGTGTGTGTGTGTGTGTGTGAGTAAATGGGATGTCGAGCAACTGGCTTTCAGTGCATCTGCGGTTTCATCACAAAGAAACAGAACGTAATTATGGGCGATATTTAGAAAATCACTATCACATAATTTCATTGAAAAACAAAAGATTATTGTGTACATTTGTAAAGAAACATTTGGGCAGCCTTGGTCAAACAACATGTTTTGTTGATTTTATAAAGTAAAAAATAAGTGAACACATCCTCCACAGAGAAACACTTCTGCACATTCTAATGCAAAATTACTATTTATTTACTGAATTTAACACACTGGGAAAAAAAAAACAAACATAAAATGTGGCATGTACAAAGGTTATGGCACAGTTAGCAGGTTATGTTTTATTATTCCCAGTATGTTAGTAAATAAATATGTGCTCTAAATGTTGGAGAAAATCGCCACTTATTTTCACTTAGAAAGTCAACAGCACATGTAATTTGACTAGGGGATCCAAACTTTCACACGACTGTATATCGCCACCTACGTGACCCACTGTAGCTTAGGCTTAATTTCTTTTGTTAGCTTACAGTCCAGCCTACATGCTGTTTAAGCTACTCTGCCTGGTAATTAACTAATTTCGCTTCCCGGTTTATAATCTGTGATTACAAACTTATGCGTTCACAACATCCTGCTGGTGTGGATTCATTCCAGTTTCCTCCCTTTCAATGAAGCACACAAAAGCTACTTGCTTGTTAATGGGTCTCACTTGTTCAGAATCTTGCTAAATTAATATTTTAACAATACTTTTAAAATACAATTACAACAATAGAGAAAATAACATTACATGTAAATATTATTTAAGTTTATCTGGCAAATGGTTTTGATTAAGCTACAATTGTATGCAAAAAATTGAGAACTCTTGGTCAGATTCCATGTTTTGTTGATTTTCTGTGTAAATAAAGTGTAAATAAGTGTAAATACTCATCCTCTACAGAGAACACACTTTAATAGGACATTTTTCTGCATGTTTAAGTGCACAATTTCTATTTATCTATTAAACATATATAGAAATTAAATAGAAAATTGAACCTTTTGTGTTGTTTGTTCAGCAATTAAACAGTAATTGTGCATTAAAATGTGCAGAAGTCAGATTAGAAAATCAACAAAAAATTGAATTTGACCAGGGGTGCCCAAACTTCTACATCTGACTGTATCTATCAGTTTAATTTTCTGAATACTGGCGATTATCATTGTCAGGCACTGGTTTACTTATTATTTGCCTGGCCCTAGCCCCCACACACGACACACACATGATATCATTATTTATTTTTTAATAATTCCACTGTCTATTATATTTCGCAATCAGTAATGTCTTCATTTTGCATTTATAATATCAGACCCGAGTGGGTCCCATGGCAAAGCATCCCACTGGTGGAATCATTAAAGCTACATTAAGGAAGTGCAAAATTTGAACTGTGTCTTTTAATGTCAGCTCATAAGAAGTATGAAACTGTCAGACTCAATATCACATCAGACCAATAAACCTTTATGATCAATCCTTTGAGAAACCGGACGCCTGAAAACCTCATTTTCATTCTGCCGCCATTTCCGAAGACTTGCTCAGAGGCACAAACTGAAAAGCTTTGACTAATTTTATGGATGGGAGCTCGTGTTCAGCCAGTAGACACACCTGTCACTCTCCTAATACTGTTCTCACTACAGAATGTCTGATTATACAGAGTCATGAAAGGTTATTACTCAGTTTTACCAAAGAATCTAATAGAACTCATATCAGACTAATACAAACCTGAACAGCCTGTAAAGTTATATTATTTATCTACCAAAAAATGGCAGACTACGTTCAGCACCTTAGTGAGGGCAAGTAATTATTCCATATCTTAAAAGCTACTTTTGATTTCAACCAAACGTTTCGCCCAGTTCAGTCGTGTCTGGCCCGCTCTTGTGTTCAGCAATGTTTTCTCAGTGGGTTTTCAAGCATGAAATGTTTGGAACAGTTCCTGTCATTGCATCTAATTGGGGGTTTGGTCTGAGGTTTCTCTAAAACCTGATGTGGCAAAGCACTCGAAACCGCAAGGATTCACAATTTCATCGGCCTTAAATCATCTGGTTCACTGAGCACCCAATCTGGTCTCTCGACGCTACTGCTCACAACCCTTAGACCCATAGACTATTTCCAAGCTACAATACATGGCCAAAAGTATGTGGACACCTGACCATCACACCTATATGAGCTTGTTGGACATTCCATTCCAAAACCATGGGCATTAATATGGAGTTGCCACCCTTTGCAGCTATAACAACCTCCACTCTCTACTCAGAGTGTGTCTATGGGAACTTGTGCCTATTCAGTCAAAAGAGCATTTGTGAGATCAAGCACTGATGTTGGACACTGTAGGCCTGGATCACAATCGACGCTCCAGTGTATCCCAAAGGTGTCCAGTGGTGTTGCCAGATAGTGAAGTGTAATTAATCACTCCAGAGAACATGTTTCCACTGCTCCAGAGTCCAGTGGCGGTGTGCTTTACACCATTCCAGCCTGGCACTTGGCATTGCGCATGGTGATCTTAGCCTTGTGTGCAGGCGCTCGGGCCCCGGAAACCTATTTCATGAAGCTCCTGGCGCACAGTTCTTGTGCTGATGTTGCTTCCAGAGGTAGTTTGTAACTCTGTAGTGAGTGAAGCAACAGAGGATAGGAGATTTTTACATGCTGCATACTTTACCGCTTGGCAGCCCCGCTCTGCGAGTTTGTGTGGTCTACTGCTTCGTAGCTGAGCAGTTGTTGCTCCTAGATGCTTCCATTTCACAATAATAGCACTTACAGTTGACGGGGCAGATCTAGTGGGGAGGATATTTCACAAACTGACTTGTGGCAGAGGCGGCATCCTATGATGCTGTGTTGAAAGTCACTGAGCTCTT